TTTGATTTAGAAAAATAATCTAAAATTCAAACCAAACCATTTTAAACTAAAAATAAAATTTTGAAATTTTTTTATAAAAAATATTAATATATACACACACGTACGTATATTTATATAATTATATATTTATACATCTATATATACAAATATATACTTATACGTGTATGTACATACACACACATACATACATATTTACATATATCTATATATATAAATTTTATCTACTCATATAAATATAAAAAATATATATGTACATATATTTATAATTATATATAAATATAAGATACATAATATATAAGTACATGCATACATATATACATGTATATATATACATATATATACTTATATGTGTATATACACACACAAACATACATACATACATACATATATAAATTTTATATATTTATACAAATATCAATATATGTACATGTACATATATTTATATTGCATATAAATATATAAATACCTATATATGTATACATATATATACACATGCACACATACAAGAATTATGTGTGAGTGTGTACATACACATGTATATATATATACACACATAAATACGTAAATGTGTGTATTTATATATTTATACACGTATGTATATACCTATATGGTGTGTGTGTGTGTGCGCGCAACGCGCGCGCACAAGTGCGTGCATGCACACATAGTATTAATACATATTATATATATATATACACATATATGTATTGTTATGTTGTGTTTGTGTGTCTATATATATATAAATATGTATGTCAATGGATATATGTGTGTGTGTACATGCACACATATTATTTATAAATACATATATACATATATATGTGTATATATGTCTGTATGTACACATACATGTATATATACATACATAAATACATAAAATGTATGTATTTACATATTTATGCATGTACGTATATACCATATGTTTGTGTGCGTGTACACACATACATATAAATTTTTATATTTATATGAATATATATTATACATACATGAAAATATAATATATATGTATATATTTGTGCATATATATTTATATATGTGTGTTTATATATATGTATGTATATACAAATAAAATATACATGTACACCACATACATATACATGCATATACATGTATATTTAATAATAATAAATTAAATAAATAATTTATTTAAATATTTTTTAATTAATAAAAAATCAAAACTTAAAATCAAATCAAACCAAACTAAAATTTTAGGTTTAGTTTGGTTTGGTTTATAATTAAGTTGGTTTAGTTTGATTTAATTTTAAAAGTATTAAACCAAAAAACCAATCAAAATATCAAAAACCAAATTAAAATTATGGTTTGCACACCCCCACTCCTTGATAAATTCCCTCATCTACCAAATTCAATTTTTAAAAGAAATTTATTTCCATGAGTCCCACCTGCCAGTTAGATGATAAAATTCCCTGTATCTACCAAAATTGAATTTTTAAAGAAATTTATTTCCATGAGTCCCACCTCCAAGTTAGATTTGCACGGTCCTTGTTAGTGTGGAGCATTAAGTAATTAGTAAATAATCCAACCAAAAAACTTGTCGGCTGGAAGTACCAGTTATTTTGACTATTGGAGATTTATTATTATCTTAATTATAAATATAAATAATATTTCATGTCATCAAACTCAATGTTTCCTAACTTAAATGAGTGTAGTATAAGTGATAAGTCATTTTTATATCAACGGAAGAAAATTATATTACATTTGTGAAAACACATGTTTAAGGAGGGATAGCCACAGTATTTTTAAATAAAATTAATCTTAAACTGTAAAAAAATGAGAATACTTATAAGGAAAACAAAACTCAATGTTTAATGAAATAATATTCCCCTTAAAAAATAAAGAAAAGAAAAGAAGAGAAAAGAAAAAGGATTGGAGTTATTTGCTCTTCCAACATAAGTAGTTCTTTGATTTTTTGTTTCCAACTATAAAAAAATAAATAAATAAATAAATCTAATATAGAACTTATTGTAGTTGGTTCTTTTTCATTTAAGGCTAATTATGTTCTAGAATATAAAAATTTAATTCTTGTTAGTTTTGCAGAATTGACAGCCAAAATCAAAATGATCTTGAAGAAGAAGGCTAAGGCCAACTGAGCTAGAAAGTGTACGCAGCACATCTGACTTTTCCATAATTGAGCGTACGTTGCATAGCTGTAAATTGGCTAGTAATTGCTACTTTAAACAAAAATAAAAAACGAACAACGAATGCATACAAAATCTCCACCCCACCTTCCCTCCCCCACCCCCAACATGTGCACATGGAAGCCTTCATCTCTAAATGCCCTATATATACATTGTAATAGATCATATGTAATTCAAGAAGAAGTTGAACATCTTAGAGAAGCTCTTGCAAGATGGATAGAAGCAACAATGAGCTAGATAAAGAGCTACTTCACTCTCAAGCTCACATATGGAACCACATATTCAATTTCATAAACTCTATGTCCATCAAATGTGCCGTTCAACTTGGCATACCAGACATTGTTAAGAAACATGGGCGGCCGATGACTCTCTCTCAGATTGTTGCCGCTCTTCCTATCAACCCTTCCAAAGGCCGGAATGTCTACCGCTCATGCGAATTTTGGTGCACTCTGGCTTCTTCACTAAGCAAAAAGTTTCTGAAAATGATGAGGAAGAAGGGTACTTGCTCACGCCGACTTCTCGACTACTCCTCAAGGATGAGCCACTCAATGTCACCCCATTCTTACTAGCCATGTTGGACCCAGTGTTGACAATGCCGTGGCACCATGTGAGTGAATGGTTCCAAAACGATGATGCAACGCCATTTGATACGACTCATGGGAGGACATTTTGGGACTATGCAAGCCACGAGCCAAGGCTTAACAAATTCTTCAATGAAGCAATGGCTAGTGATGCCCGTTGGTCACTAGTGTGGTTATTAGGGACTGTAAAGGATGTTTTGAAAAGTTGAACTCGTTGGTTGATGTCGGGGGAGGCATTGGCGTGGTGGCAAAGTCTATTGCTAATGCTTATCCACACTTGAAGTGCACTGTGTTGGATCTTCCTCATGTGGTTGCTGGATTGGAAGGTAGCAAGAATTTGAACTATGCTGGAGGTGACATGTTTGAGGCCATTCCTCCGCTGATGCTATTTTGTTGAAGGTATTTATTGAATTTCTTCTTAATTTTCTTTCTTGAAAAAAGGGTAATTTTATATTTTTTATTTTTATAAAATATCACAAAATAGCCTAAATTATTTCGAAAAAAGAAAAAGACTTATAGAAAGAAAAATACTATCAAGGATATTATATTGCATTACCCTCCTTGTTACTTGCAACACCAAATCTTATAACCTAGAGGTTTAGTTTCTATCTTTGAAAATAACAAGATTATTTTATAGTTACATAGACAAAAAGGATCGATTCAACCAATGTTCACATAGCGAGTTTATTTGAAATTCTAGTCGATTCATCTGGCTGGCTGTGATGGTTTCTTTTAGTTTAATTGTAGATCTAATATTTTAAAAGAATCAAATTGGACTAAGGACTATTTATGACATATTTATAAAGATATTCAAATTAACCTTTCATGGCTTTTATGTAGAACGAAGTTAAAAGCAGTTTTAATTATTAAAAAAAGAAAAGAGGAAAGTTAAAAAGAATTGGTAATTAACAACGTCTTGGCCATTTCAATTATGTCCTCCCCTTTATTGAAAACTCCAAATATTGCTAACAAAGGCTGCCCCATGGATAGCTGTAATTTTGAATTCATTTTCTAATATCTTTAATTTTTTCTATTTTTATGTCTAAAAAAGAGCTACTATCGTGGATGTTAATTGGAGTAATTAACAATTATAATTATAGTGGATCTTGCATGACTGGAGCGATGAAGAGAGTATAAAAATACTGAAGCGTTGCAAAGAAGCAATCCCGAGTAAGGAAAAGGGAGGGAAGGTAATGATCATAGATATGATGGTAGAGAACAAGAAAGAAGATGATGAGTCAGTAGAAACACAACTCTTCTTTGACATGTTGATGATGATTTTGGTTACTGGTAAAGAGAGAACCGAGAAGGAATGGGCAAAACTCTTTCTGAAGCTGGTTTCAGTGAATACAAGATTACCCCTATTCTTGGTTTAAGATCTCTTATTGAAGTTTATCCTTGATTAAAAAAGTTGATCATGGAATGTTTGTGTGGTTTCATTAAAAGTACTTTGTTGGTTTCCTTGAAATAAAACTGATTTGTTATCAATGTTTAAGCTTATGTGGTTTTCAATAAAAGTACCAAGGCCTATGTAGTTATCCTTGATAATGGAATGTTTGTGTTGTTTTCATTAAAAGTACCAAGGACGATGTTGATTTCCTTGAAATAAAAGTGATTTTGTTGTTGTTTAAGCTCATGCAGTAATAATATAACTAATTCTCTTATAGTCAGACTTACGAAATGATCAAAAAAGCATCAACTTGAAGATTAATTGCATAATCAAAAAATGTAGAAAAAAGAAATAAAAATTAAATAGTGATTAATTAAAAAGTTACCCAACCAGTCAAAGATCTAGCATTATTAGCATGTAGCATACATGTGATAAATCCAATTTTATTCATATTTTTACAACTATTTTAATTAAAACATATCATTTATTTTTTTATTAACTTTGGATAAATAAGAATTCATGAAATTAACTTTTGATATATTTTGCTAAATAAATAAAGATTTATTAAAATAATAAGCGTTACAAGCAGGTAAGTCTAGACAGAGATAATTTTAATAATTTATAATTATTAAAATTTAAATGACTAGTAATTCTCTAATTTGGCGAATTTGATCAAAGATGGGAAAATTATATATTTCTCTATTCTATCTCCTAGGAGGAGAATTCTTGGTAGTTTCTTCACATTAAAAGGCCCTAATGGCAATAAGGGAGAGGATCAATTGGGAAGAAACAGAGGACGTGGGCAATGCCTAGCAATGTAGTGACGAAAGTATTGTAGAGTCAGCGTAGGCCTGACTATGCAGGAAGCGATTGAAACTATTATAATTCCTCCACTTATTTTTATTTTATTTTAGATGTTTTATATGCTCAAAGTTGATTGGTTTGTGATTTGATTTAATAATGAACTAAGTTAATTTTTGAAGGATTTCAATTCAACTCAACAAGTTTAGATTATTTGATTTTCGTTTCTCTTTAATTATGAACCAAATTTGTTTGCCTAATTTGTATTTAATGCTTTCAATTGTGTGATCACCAATTGAATTGAATTGATTTAGGAATTAAATTTAAACTTGAGACTTCACATAATATGAATACATTGACTCTTCTATAAAATATATATCTATTCACTTTAGTAAATAAAATTGAAGTCTGTTCTTAATAAATTAATTTAAATTTAATTTATAAAGTAATATATAAAAAAGGTTTAATTAGATGTGTTTATAAAATTTTTGAAAGAAGATTATAAATAATTTAAAAATCTTAGGTTAGTAAATAGCTTGTTTATTTATTAAAGAAAATTAATTAAAAATTCAAATAAAACGTCAAGAAAAATTGTAATCATAGACTTTTATTTCCTGAATTTTCAGAACTCTCAATATTTATTTTACTACTTTTTATTTCACTATTTTTTTTACTTACAAAATATTTAAAATTAATTTCTTGTAAAACTAATACTCTATTTATATTAAATTATTTATCACAGTACATTCATTTGTCTTATCAACTGTCTTATTTTCAACAAAAAGTTAGCAAAAGCTTGATTTCTTTCAGAAAAAAGCTACTGAGAGAGAGAGAGAGAGAGAGAGAGAGAGTACGACAGGCCTCTTCAAGCCAACACCGCCCCACACCTTCGATACAGAACCTTATCATCTGATGACATGCAGCAGTACTTCACGTGAACCTGAAGGTGCAATGAATGGGCGAAGATTCAGGAGGACACCTCTCGCCAATTTATTATGTCTTGCTTTTTTAAAACGATTTAATTGTCTTGTTTGTTAAATATGCTTGCAAATTTCCATAGCTTTTTTAAACTATTGGGTGCAATTAATTTTACTAGTTGGGTTTTAATTTTTATTTTTTTTAATCATTAAATATAGTATAATTCATAAGTTAACTGGTGTAGATAAATATGATAAAAATTTGTTTATTACAAACAGATTGAATTTGATTCGTGAAAGCACACTTTTAAAGAGAAATAAAGTGACATGTGATATGACCGAATAATTTTTGATAGAATAGAAATGAGAATAAGAGAATGGAATGAAATGGAATAGAATTAAGATTCTCATGAGTATGTTTGGTACACACTGATAGAATGAAAATTCTCATTTCATCATTATTTTGGTATTTTGGAATAGAAGTAGGAAAAGAAATAAAAAAAAAAATTTAAAGACAAACATACCTTTTATTAGAAATATTAAATAATTTTTATTTTTAATATATTATAAGTATAATAAAAATATAAAAATTAAAATTTTATATTCTATCCTTAAATATTAAATTTCAAAATAAATAATTTAATAATACAATATTATAATATATATATATATATATAGTTATTGAAACTTTATATAATGGTGTTTAATTTTTTTTAACAATTTAATTCTTTATTTTAAATTTTTTTCTATATCTTAGATTATTAACACGTTATATAATTTAGCATGTAACAATATTATATTTTCATTTCTTCATTACTATTTTATTATCCCTTGATATAAGAAAAAAATAGTAAAATGTCTTAATATAAAATATTTTTGACTTTTTGGTATACGAGGGTAGTTTTGTTATTTATTAAAAATATAAAGGATAATTAAGTAAATTTAAATTGAGTTGAAGGAATAGAATTTGGATTCTATCACCCTAGTAATGGAATCCAGATTCCATCATTTGAAGGAATTTTTATTCTTAGATAACGAGGATTCTCATTCTAATACACCTATCAAACATAATTTTATAATATTCCCATTCATTCCTCAAGATTTCACTTTCTACGATATAGCACCAAATAAACACTTTGAACAAAACTAGTTCCACGTTATAAAATGGATGAGGATAGAGACGAGGATGTCCAAAAAAGAAAAACAAATGTAGAACATTGTAAGTATATATAAATGGTAAAAAACAACAATTATTTTTTATTTTTTTACGTTAGTACATGTATTCTGATATATAAATGGCAGCTGGATAACATTAAATCCACATCCTTTCGAGTTTGCCTATGTAAACTTTATGTCATGTTGATAGGGGATGATTTTTTTTTTGGAAATTAGATTTTATTAGAAATTTTATTTAAACTATATTTTTTATTTATTAATTTTTTAGATTAGTTTTAGATTTATCTATGATATAAAATTCAAAATTTTAAAATTATCTTAAGAAGGCAACGTTATTGTTTCGAGAATTTTTATTCTTTGGAAAGTATAAAGATTAGAGAACTCTTCTCTTTAAAAAGGACTATTTCCATTGAAAGGGGAGTGAAAAAAAATTTCTCTAAAAATTCAAAATTAAACTAAGCTTCCTCCAAGCCTAAGAATCCTTTGATATTTCAGGTAAATCACTTCTAACAAAAAATCAACAAACTTTAACCTCTCCAACTATATTTGAGAAGAGAATTGATGAAATCCAGTTAATGGAGTATAAAGATTTGCGATAACCAAACTCCAAAAGTCAGATGGTTTGAGTGAGAATTGAGTTTGTAATTAGTTTTTCTTAAGGTTTAAATTAGAGTTTTCTGAAACCACTTATGAAAATATTCTTAACTTTTTATTGGTTAATTTTATACAACTATTTTGATTAAGCTTGAATTACTTTTATTTGTGTGGATTTGTTTGACCATTGCTTGTGTTCTTAAAAAACATCACTTGTATTTAAAAATGTTGAAGTTTAATACTTAAGTTTTATAAGCATTCACTTTTATTCATTTCATACTTCAACTAAATTTTTATTGAGATATAAATGTACACTACCAAAAGAAGGGTGTTTAGTGACTACAACTAAATAAAAAAATAGTGGTCATAGAATAAATAAGTGATTGCATTTGTGAACTATCAAGTTAGTCACAAAATACCTCGTCACTAATCCTTTTTAGTGACCACCCAACTTGGGGTGACCGCCAAGTCAATCACTAATTTTTTAAAGGGGGTCACTATTTTTTTTTTTTTTTTTTTGTTCTGAGAGACAATTGCAGTCACTAATTAATAATCGTACTACTGGCCATCACTATTAGTGACCGCACACTGTGGTCACTAATTTTATGACTGCAACTTGATCCCTAATTAGTGACCCTGTTATGTTGTCATTAAAGGTCATAAATTAAGTGAAAGCTCATATAATTTATTATTTTTTGGTATAGGGTCATTGATAAAATGTAAAAATATATGAAATAAAAATGTAAAATATAAACATAATACAATAATTACATATTAACAAAAGTACCAATATTATTCGTGTATTATGTATTGATAATGGTTGGGAAACAAGATGATTGGGCATTACTGGACCCACATAGACAACCTTCAAAAACACCTCTTCAAAGGTTAATTAACAGCTCACAAGATGCCATACCTCCAGCTCATCTTTAGAGGAGTACTAATTTACAGCCAAAAGCATAGAAAATTAATCAACAAACTGTTAGCAAATAAAATAGAAAAGTGTCAGGAACAGGCAATCCTCATGTGCAAACATGATTTGCTTTGGCATGGCTCCAAAATTTGTAGCAAAAAATTTCAATAAAAATAAAGCACCAAGAATATACAAAGATATACAAAGATGAGCTGGAAGTATGACAATTGACAATTGATTTGTATATGAAGCAATTGACAATTGACATGTATATCTCTGATCTGTAATTCAAGATACTTCTATTAATCACAATAATGCTAACAAACTAGCTTTCCTTGCCTCATCAAAATGGTTAGTGTATGTGAGAAAAAAAAAAAAACAGTTTCCTTCAGGACACAACCCTACCCTCAAGCCTATCATATGGCTCTAAACCTAATAAAAATAACTTTTTGTAAAGAAAATTGACTTACAATCATCTTCGCCAAGCACAAGCTAGAAATATAAATACTAAAAACACTTAGAAAAATACCATCTCATTTACTTTACAATAGATGGAGAATTTAGTTAGCTTGAAATCCATTAAGCTTGTGGTGCATGTCTACATGCAGGAATGTGCTTGTTGATTTATGTAGGAACTTATTTTGCATCCTTATCATTCATTCTAGTCAGTTTCAAGATTCAACATTGTTTCTTTTTCTAGCTTAATGAACAGAAGGCTTTATCATTAACAATGCATTGGCTAGACTAGGCCCAACAAATACACAATATTGGCGTAAAGAATATTTCATACCCACAAAAAACAATAGAAGTTTAGTCTTGTTCAACATGCTACCTGTTTTGTTAGTGGGAAACAAAAGCGGTATATAATTTTTGCTGGCCTAAGTTGGTATCACAAATATATAATCTCAAAATC